GTACATAATTTCCAAGTGAATGAACTTTCTATATTAAACAGAGTAGAAAATATAATATTTTTACACGCTGTTACATTTTATTGCAGGCCAAAAGCTGGTTCACTCTTTTCTATATATACACATATACCCAAAGGAAGGAGGTGGAGCTAATGGGCTGAGAAATCAAAAAACAAAAGCAAAACTAAGCAAAACAAGTATAATTTTTTCTCAGCTCTCATTTCTCGAACCACACATTATAGCACTTAGTTGTATTTTGTATTTTGTGTCTAGTTGCTTCCTGTATGTAAATCCTGCTTTCTCTTTTATACTAATTCCTAGAGGGAAGGACATATACCACATGCTATTTATTCTTCACAGTTTAATAAGAACTTATTAATAAAGAATTCATTTTTATTGTTCAACACATGCTTACTAAGCATCATTCTGAGCCAACACACACCCAGGTGATCCTTGGAACAAACGTGAAAAACACACAGTTCTTGTCCTTGAGGTGCTCATGATTTAAATGAAGAAAAATGTAAAATTTGGCCATTTTGACAAAACATATTTGGGCACTTAAAGAGATGATCCATTCTTTGGTCAGACTCTTGAATTTTGAAAGGCTCTTTAACAAAAGGATCCAGGAAGTACCGTCCATTCTTCCCACCAAAGTTTGTGAGTTTACTGGGTATCAGACACCATGTGGGCTAATCAGAACTCCAGTAGAATTTGTATGCAAAAATCAAATGAATGTTCCCATATTATATGTGTAGGGAACCAGCCCTACATCACCCGTGGATACCCCATGTTTGGTGGTGACAAAGGAATGAGAAAAAGACAGATTAAGGGGCCATCACCCATTACTTTGGAGGAGACAGTGAAGGCCCTGAACTCTGATCATCCACACTGTTTGTTGGTTACAATCACTTTGATCTACAGGGGAGGGGTGGAGTGATGGTGGGGAGAATCAGTGAGCCAGAACTGGTGTGCCATCCTAAGGATTGATAACAGTCTCGGTTTGGGAGTTTCACAAAAAAAGAACATGTGGTTATATTTAGTTTATTATCTATGTACAGCTGGTGGAACATGGACCTTACAAGAAGCCTGCAAGTCTGGCTACATCATAGTGCTATAAAGGGATTTTACGTCCTTGAGCACAATGTTTATGTAAGAGAGCCGAGGTCACCCTGCACTGGAACTTAAGGCATGGAGAGGCCTTCCTCCTCAGAGGCCTCCTGCAGTCTTCTGCAGTTTGTTGTTCCTTGTTTATGTGTTACTCATAACCAACTTACATAGGCACTCTGTAAGTCCTTTCTCCTTTACTGCTTTTCCCAACAATATGGAATTGTACTGGAGAGAACATCAGAACAGTCTAAAGCCTTATAAACTTGACAAGAACGTTGGGAAGAATAATGATCCTCAAAATGCTTTGAACACAGAAAGTACCAACATAAGTGCTAATTATTATTATTAGCCCCAAGACCTTTTTCCTTTTCCCTGTACTGTTAGATCTATCATAAACTTTCTTAACTTCAAGGGAAAGTATGTTCTTTACATGAGTATTTTTGCGAAGTCAAATGCTAATCTATGCATTTATGGAAAAACACCTCTTTTGTTATTCTTTTTATCCTCCCTTGAGGGCAGACATTGTGTCATTTACCTATTCTGTAAGGTACCTAGCAAAGCAATGTGCGTTATGTTACTCTATGTTGGCAATGGCTGGCTTGCCTTAAAAAGAAGCAAAATATATATTTAGAATCTTATCTGGGGCCATGCATGGTGGCATGCCCCAGTAGTCCCAGCTACTGGGGAGGCTGTGGTGGGAGGATCACCTGAGCCTCAGGAAATTGAGGCGTCAGTGAGCCATGATTTTGCCACTGCACCCCAACCTGGGTAATGAAGCGAGACCCTGTCTCAAAACAAACAAAAAACTCAACAACAACAACAGCAACAACAACAAGAAAACCCAAAAGAATCTTAGCTAGGACTGCAAACTAGTGAGATTTAAAAATAACAGAACGTAGGTAATCTAAAAAGATTTGCATTTTAAAGTGGTCACTAGGGGAGACTATAGAGTCTGCGCTATCAGAGCTCGGTCATCACTCCAAATATTTTGGCTTCCCTCATCTGGAATTGCCTTCAGAACCACTTGTGAAAACCATGTTAAAAGCTAGTGTCATTACTTTATTTAACACCTGATACACAGAAAAGAACATGAGAGACCAAAAGTGAAAAATGTATCCAAAGGGAGTGCTCTGTGTTGGGGTGTGCAAGGCTCAGAGAGTCAATGAGTTAGAAACACATTTGCAGTGATATGAAGCAAATCATTCTAATGCTATACACACCCACATAAACTCGAGAAAATTTCAAACACAAGCATTGAAAGATCTTAAAGCATTTTAAAATTTCAAATTTCTGTTATACTAGATCTTGTGGGGAAAAAAATCAAAATCATGTTTAAACCACATTCACTGAAGAAAGAAAGAAGACAAATAGGGAGAATAACCTCCACACACCCCCACCCCCAACACACACACACAGACACACACACACAGACACACACACACACAGACACACACACACACACACATGCACACACACTCTCTCTTTCTCTCTCTCTCTCCCCCTCTCTGCTCTCTTTCTAGGAGCCCAATCAAATGTTCTGAAAAACCAGCTAAGGACCACCACTTCTGCTAGGTTGTTTCCTTCTTTCTTTCTTCCACCACATGAGACAATAATAGTCAGAAACTTTTGGTTACTTTCTACCATTTTCCAGTCAACTCATTTGTTGCCTGCAAGAGGAAAGAGAACTGGAACATAGAGCTGGCTGGTCACAGGCTTTTATTTCTTTCCCTATCTCATACGTCTTTTTAAGGCTTGTATTGGTTTGCTAATGTTTCTGTAACAAAGTCCCGCAAACTATGTGGCTTCAACAACAGAAATTTATTGTCTCACAGTTCTGGAGGCCAGAAGTCCAAGATGAAGGTGTTGACAGGGTTGTTTTTTTTCTTAAGACGTGGGAAGAATCTGTTCCATGACTCTCCCCTAACTTCTGGTGGTTTGCTGGCAATCTTGCTGCTATTTCTTGGCTCGTAGATATATCACCTTGATCTCTGCCTTGATATTCACTTGCTGTTTTTTTCTGTGTGTATGTCTGCCTCCAGAATTCCCCTTTTAATGGGACACCAGTCATATCAGATTAAGGCAAACTCTAATAATCTCATTTCAACTTGATTATCTTTGTAAGACCCTATTTCTAAATAAGGTCACATTCTGAAGTACTTGGGGTTAGGACTTCAGCATATAAATTTGTGGGGAACACATTTGACCCATAACAGGCTAGAGTGAGGGTGGACAGAGAAATGCAAATGTGGGAAACAGAAAGCTTAACAGGTAGACTCTTTGCACCATGACATATATAAACAGGAAGTTGTTCTTCTCACTTTCATAAATTGTCATACTAATAAGAGTCTGAGCTAAGACACCTTTATCATATCCATCTCAGGTAAATTTCTGTATCACTTTGCTTGTACCTATGACATTCATTATTTTCTGCCTGGTACTCAGTTTATTATGTGCACAATTTATTTCTCTTATCAAACTATAAATTCCTTGAAAGCAGTATCTAATCAATCTCTGTTTCTGTTTCTTGACCTAGCACAGTACCTTGAACATGATTGATATTCAATAAATTATCATTGAATCCATAAATGGCTGCCCATACTTTATAGTTACAAAGTTCAAAAAGTGTATAAACTCACTGTTAAGCACTATGTTGGTCAGGATAAGTTAGGTTGTGCTGCAGAATCAAACAACTCCAAATTCTCAGTGACTTAATACAACAAAGTTTATTTCTTGCTGATGCAAAACTTCCTACAACTCCAGGCAGTTCCTTAAACTGGTCATCCTCCATGTGGAAGCAAAGTATCCTAAAAAATTTCATCTTAGCATTAAGCAAGCCAGAAACGTCAAATGTCAATCTCATACACCCTTTCTTTTTCCCTAAAAAAAGTATCCTAGATTAGCATTGTGTTTTGTACAGCATTTACTGAGCCTTACTATGTGCCAGGCAGTATTGTAGATACTGGGATCCAACAGTGAAAAAAACATACTAGAGGATACATTTCTATATAGAACAAGGAGAAAAAAAGGAGTGACCAAATAATGAGATATTTGCAAAGAATTGTAAATACCATAAAGAAAGTAGAACAGGATAATATTGCATAAAATAACTCTCCTGTGATCTCAGTGCCAGTATGTTCTAAAAATCTTAGTCTTCTATTAGAAAATTAGTCATGGGAAAATTGACTCACACAAAATATTTAAGAAAAGAAAAAATTTCTAAAAAATTTCTAAAAGGATACACATACACTCTATTTCAGCTCTCTATTGCTGTAGAATAAACCACTCTGAAACTTAGTGGCTTAAAACAATAACAATTTTACATTTACTCACAATTCTCTGATTTGAATAAGACTTGGTGGGAAAACCTCATCCGTGCTCCCTATCTGTTGGACTGTGCTCCATATCCAGAATGTCTTTTTTATTCACATGACTATTGACTCAGTTGAATATCTAAAGTGTAATGGCTCTCTGAGTGTCTCTATCTCCACATATCTACTCCAAATGGCTAGCTTAGGCTTCCTCACAGTATGGCAGCTGGGTTTCAAGATGGAGAATTCCAGGAAAATACGCTCAAGTGCCTATCCTTTGCTTGCATCACACTTGCTAATGTCCTGTATACTAAAGGTAGTCACATAGTCATCCCTAGAGTCAACCTGGCAGAGAACTACACAAGGGCATGATAAGAGAAATGGTTCATTGAGAGCTACCAAAATATCTTTTTATCACTGTCAACCATCTGGCCTCTAATAATTCTCATTCCTCCTGCAATACACTCTGCTTTTGCTGAGATGCCCATAACCTCATTCTATTACAGCATGAGATTCAAACTTGAAGTCTATAATCTCATCATCTAAATCAGATCCCAGTGAAGGATGAGGCTTCTTAGGTATAATCACTTTTGATCTAAATACCTGTGAACTGAACAGATGAAGAGATAAGTTATATTCCCCCTCCTGCCCATAACCATCAACATATTATGGTGAAGCAAGGACTGAAAAACGGCAATAAAAGGTTCCATTCAAAAAGGGGTAAATGGGAGAAGTATAGCAGTTACCAATCTGTAGCAATCTGCAATCTAACTGGGTACATATTTTCAGATCTTAGGGCCTAGTTCTGATATCTGAAAGTGATTCATTATGGCTCATGCTTACAACTGAATGACTTTCAGTCTTCATCCTGCTTATAGAGGGTTGAGAGTACAGAGGCTTCTTTTTATTTTGAAATGCTTCTGTTCAATCTGGGAATGTTGTGCTAGTACAATTTTCTTTAAAACTTTGTGGGTTTCTTATGTATCTTATTAGGGATTAACTTCATTAGACAAAAGTTATACCCATAAAACTCTTTGAAACCAACTCCTTTCTAATTTTGCTTGCAAGTCAGGGTGCTATGGAACAATATTCTTACTATTTTTAGAAGATTCTTTTTTTCTAGTTGAGTTTGAGGCAAGTTGTGAGGATTCTTAGGAGCCCCTTTTTCTATCCAAGGGAGTTTATAGGTCAGAGCCCTAAATCTTTCTGAGATCTCACAAACAGTATTATTGATTTGATCTTTACTTTGAGGCCCTATTTTATTGGCAGTGTCCTGGATTTGATATGAAGCAGTTTTTTACTTTGAGAATATTTCTCCAGCAAACACTGGGGATGAGAATTTATTTTTGAACCCCAAAGCCTTTGCATTTTCTTCAAATTTTTCTTTAAAACAGAATAGCTAATTCTTTAGTTCATCTTACACTTCCCATAACTTAACTTAGGCAACTAAATACAGCTAAAAGTTGCAAGATGCTACTTTAAACATTCTGCATGGATATCTTCATAGTTGGATCCACAAGTTAATTAGATATCTTATCTATTTTGCACATTATTGGTGGTAACAGTTTTGCTAATGAATCTACCCATCCATAACTTGGGGTTTCTTTTCTTTAACTTCCAGAAAGCAATTTCCCCTTTGTTCTTTTAACTAATATTAAATGTCTTCTTGAGATTTATCAGTTCTCCACCTATTGCATAATTCCGCATCCCTCATGTGTTGGCTTTTTGTTGTAGCAGTACTCCACTTTGGGTATCAATTTCTGACTTCCAGGTTACTTCAGGGACTGTTTTACCAAGTGTTCTGCCAGCACATGATGCAAGTTCTCTTTTCTCCAGTGTCTGATAGCTGTTTTATCACTGCCCTTCCACTCTTCACTAATGCAGAAACTCAAACAAAAATCTCTCAAGTTATATCCTTAGGGCAATAAGTACACATTTAATTTAGTCCCCTGTATTTTCTGGATCATCATTTTCTGCACTGTAAAGTCATAATTGCAGTTATTAAAATTTCTCAATTGCCAAATATTCCATTTTCTTAGAAAGATTACAATCAATAATTGCCTTTCTTTCCTTTCTTTTCTCCCTGCCCTCTGCCTCCTCACCCTTCTTCCTTTCTTCCTCCCTCCCTCCCTCTGTACCTACCTCCCTTCCTTCCTTCCTCCCTTCTTCCTTCCTTCTATCTATGTACATATTATTTGGCTCTTGGGTGCAGATGTAAATACATTTTTTTCTTCCATGATACTTACTGTCTAGTAAGAAACTTACTTGTTATTTATCTTAAAAAATATATTAACCAGAAAATCTATGTTGGTTATTGGACAACCCAAGGGAAAATTTCAAAGCAAACAAATCTTGCCTTTGGCTCACCTCACTTCCCCTGTTGGCAAACTTTTCTCCACTTTTGGAAACCCGGTCACTGAGGTCTACTGTTTTTTATTTTTCCTAGGAAGCCTTTGTCCTTTGCTTGATTTCTTCCAGAACAGGCCTCAGAAACTATCCATAGTTTTCCTGCTTTTCTTTTCACTAATACGTATATATCTCTACCTTCTTCTTTGATTTCCTCAGGGACTTGGTCTTGACTAAATTTTCCCAAGTTGTTTTTTTTTTTTTCCCCAGTAATGCAATATTGGGTCATCGTTGTTTTCTCTGATAAAATGGTAACATTTAGACAGATATTTTTTCTATAGATGAAACATGCTAACATAAAGAATGTCTAAAATTATGACTGGCATATGAGGAAGATATGTGGCGGTAAACTGGCCTTTCTGACTTCCTGAAGTTGTCATGGCAACTCCATGTGGCTTCTGTCTCCCCTCCTGGGATGCTCCATGTGACCAGGCCCTTGTGCTGGACAAGGCATGCTTTTAAGTGTGGATAGAACCAGTGGCTGTGCAATTAAATTTTTCCAATTTGTTTTCAGGACAGAGAGGTTTGCAGTGTAGGTCTGGCTTTGTACCCTTACTTAAGGAGTCATCTTCTGGCTCCTCAAGGACCTGAAGGAACCTAATTAGCCACATAGTAAAATCTGTACTTTGTGGGCACCAGACGCTTGATAGCAAGTGTAAGTAACTTTGTGACCAGCATTTGCTTTTTATATTTATTTGAAATAAATCTATGTTATCTCTTCTGTGTATTTGACATCTGAAGAAAAAGATTTCTGACCACACCCTTTTTCTCTGGTACCATTTTCTTTTATAATTGTTTATAATGTAGTCTGCTGCAGCTGGTCCGGACATCAGAGGGGAATCATAAGACAGGGAGTATGGGCCTGGCAGGGTTTCAGCTCTTTACCTGCATTGGGATTATTATTATTATTATTATTATTATTATTATTATTATTGAGACTCTGTTGCCAGGCTGGAGTGCAGTGGTGCAACCTCTACCTCCTGTGTTCAAGTGATTCTCTTGCCTCAGCCTCCCAAATACCTGGGACTACAGGTGTGCACCACCACACCCAGCTAATTATTGTATTTTTAGTAGAGACAGGGTTTCACCATGTTGGCCAGGATGGTCTCAATCTCTTGACCTCGTGATCTGCCTCCTCGGCCTCCCAAAGTACTGGGATTACAGGTGTGAGCAGCAATGTCGGCCTAGGAGTTTTATCTGTGAGGATTAAGTGAGGTGTCAGGACCCAAGGAAGACAGCTGGGCTGAGGGGGATGCCCTCGAGTCTGTTCCCAGGGAGGAGGTGGCCAGAAGCTGCTGTAGCCAGGCTCTGCCTCTTGCTACCTATGGGACCTGTCGGGTGTGGAAACAAATACATTTCTATAAATGTGGAATGATCTCAAATGAAGAGAAGAATGAGAAAAGCTCACTTGATCTCTTTGATAGTAGTTTCTTTGTTTTTGTTGTTGTTTTGAGACAGGGTCTCACTCTCTTACCCAGGCTGGAGTGCAGTGGCATAGTCACAGCTCATCACAGCCTCCACGTCCTGTGCTAAAGCGATCTTCCCACTTCAGCCTTCTGAGTAGCTGGGACTATAGGCATGTGCCACCACGTCTGTCTAATTTTCTTTTTTTTTTTCTTTTGTAAAACTGAGGTCTCACTATGTTGCCCAGGCTGGTTTCAAACTCCTGGGCTCAAGTGATCCTCCCGTCTTGGCCTCCCAAAGTGCTTGGATTACAGCAGTGAGCCATTGCAGGCAGTCTTCAGTGATAGTTTATCTTAAAGTATAAAATGTGGATAGTAACATCTGCCCAGCCTTCCCAAAGATGAATTATATTTACAGTTCTGACCATCTTGGGGATGAAGGTGTTCATAATTTCTGAGAGTTTCTGCAAACCAAAACAAAAATATCTTCCTGCAGGGAGGAGCAGGTTTCTCTGACTTTCTGACTCAGCTTGAGTTCTCTTTGGTGGGCAAGTAAAATTGCTTTTCTGTGCTTCTTTGAGAGCAAGTTGAAACCCAGACAGGGAGGGACATTCCTTTGTACATTTACTGCTACCTGGAAGAATTTTCTTTTTCTTTCTTATGGGAATAAAAATAGGATCAAAAAATGTTCTTTTTCTTTAGGGGTAGTTAGGTGTGAAACAGCTTAAAACCATAATCTAAACAGTTATGACAAAGCTACTTCTTTTTTCTGGGAGGAAAGGTATAATCCTATTATCTTTGTGTGGTTATCAGCACCACTTGAAATTCCAATTAGTGCAGCTAATCACCATGGGCTCCTCTAGTACTTAGCTGGCAAATAGCTAAGTCTAATTAATACTTTGGAGTGGTAGGTAAATGGCATTTATTTTACTCCTGTAGACACATTTTCTAAGATTTTGATTTGGGGCTTTTTTCATTGCAAATGGACATTTTTAAAGAGGAACAACAACAACAATGAAATTCTGTATGAAACTAACAAAATAAGATCCTAAGTGCTCTTATCCAATCTAAAAGGAACCAGAGAGAAAGACAGTCCACTCACTCTTCAGTCAAAGACATACTTCTTATCCACTTATTGTTAAAAAAGTAAATCTATAAAATAGGAGATGATTTTTTTCATTTGAATACAGATTTGTAAAGAGGTATATTACCATTTGACTCTTTAACAATTATTTGATTAGAAACAGGATAGAATATTATATTACTAATAACTTGGACCTCTGAGCTTTTTAGTGCAAAGGACTTAGAGCCTGGAATCTCTGGCAAGTCCATTATAATAGCCTGGCTGACCTCCATGAAAAATGATACCTTTCCTGTGGCCAGTGAGCGTCTTATTTACTTATTTGTTTGTTTTTAATAAATATATTAATTGTTTTGAGGCAGAGTCTCACTTTGTTACCCAGGCTGGAGTGCAGTGGAGCAGTCTTAGCTCACTGCAACCTCCACCTCCCTGGTTCAAGTGATTCTTCTGCCTCAGTCTCCTGAGTAGCTGCAATTACAGGCACCCACCACCATGCCTGAATAATTTTTGTATTTTTAGTAGAGATGGGGTTTCACCATGTTGGCCAGGCTGGTCTTGAACTCCTGACCTCAAGTGATCCACCTACCTCAGACTTGGAAAGTGCTGTGATTACAGGTATGAGCCACCACGCCTGGCCCCAGTAGGTATTTTAAACTTGAACTTGGCTGAGGGGCAATCCCTGTTCTTCCATGTAGAAACTCTGTT